TGAAAAAAAATCTTTATTTTTGATTAATTTGAGTAAAAATAGATATTTTCGATAAATTTGATTGAAAATTGAGTTTTTTGAGTTTTCTGAGGTTTTTGAGGTTTTTGATGTAAAACTGATTTAATCTGAAAAAACTCAGCTTTTCCCCCCTTGCTTCTGCATTAAACTATGTTCAACTCAAAATCGGCAATTTTCTGAGAAAAGACGAGATAGGATATCTTTAGGATTGTTATTACAATCATAATTGACTCTAGTATTGCGTTAAGAGCTGCTCGACAAACAGTTGTAGCCCCTCCACCCACTAGAGAAGGCCATGACCTTCTATTATGGTTTCGTACCTTACATACTTTTTCATCAAAATCGTGTCAACAAACATATTTATTCTCCGGTGACATTATTTAATTGAGTCACACTGTTACTCTATCGCCCTCATTTCCAAGGCAATTGTAAGAATAAGAAAAAGTTTTGAATTGTTTGCTTGTTTTATTTGCACATGATACATTACACCTTTACAAAAATATTTTCCATTTCTAAGTAAAAACAGCAGACAATAATTTTGCGAAGTCACAGTGTACAGTAACAAATTCAAGCAAAACAAAAAATTATTTTTACAGATGAATTTTTCTTCATACTTATCTCTTAATTTTAGCTGTTTAATGGAAAATTATTTTTAAAAACAGAGTATATTGCTGCGATTTTCAGATAATATGTCCTCGTGTTTTGAATCTATGCCCAATGATTTATTCATGGAATTATTTGATTATTTTGATGCTTATAGTATTTATCAATCATTTTTTGGTTTAAATTATCGTCTTAATCAAATAATTTCACATTGTCAGATGTATGTTGATTATCATCGAATAACATCCAGTGAAAAACAAAAGTGGTTTTTAGAAAATCTCATAATAAATCGTATTCGTTCATTAAAATTAACTAATTTAAATCAAATTAAATTTCAATATCAACTATCATCTCTTCAAACATTAATATTTATTGCTATGAATGCAAATGATATTAAACAAATTTTGAATTCTAATCTAATTCCATTACAACAATTAAAATTTGTATCTGTTAATAATTGTGATGGTGGAAAGAAAGATAAAGATGATGTATGTAAACTTTTGTTATCTGAGCACATGTTAATGTTAAAAGAATGTAAATTAGAATTTAAATATGGAACCTCTTTTAAATATATTACACCAACACCATTATTACAAATTGAACGTTTAACTATTAATTGGTGTAGTTTAACAAATTTAATTCGTCTGTTTCCATATCTACCAAATATAAAATATTTAAAAGTGTGTATACAAAGACGTGACATAGCACCATTTCAATCATCGTCAATTGTTTCTTTGAATAATATAAAAGAATTGCATATCACAATATTCGATGGTACATACGAACGAATTATTCGTTTATTGAAATGTTGTGAAAGTTCAAAGTTAACTCGACTGAAATTGTATTTTTTCACAAATATTTACTCGATGATTGATGGTAAACAATGGGAATCAATACTAACACAATATGTACCATATTTAATCACAATAAATCTGGATGTTATGTTTTCAAAATATAATGTTCTCGTTACTTCCATAAATATTGATGATTTGTTATTAAAGTATCATTGGATTGACAAACATGAGAAATGGCGCGTGAGAATTGTAACAAATCATCGAAGCAATGAAATTCATCTTTCGATTAAAACCTTGTGAAAAATACATTATCTTGTTCGATTCTCACACTTTGCACAAGATTATTCTGCTCCATCGCTAAAAAGTCTGCTAATAAACTGAGGAACAATTTCTTGAACTATTACCTCACGTCTTTTTGCATAACGTTCGAGAGTTCACAATGTCCGTTATATAGTTCAGTTCAGTTCAGTTCAGTTTATTCTGGCATAGCCATGGATACACGAAAAGAAACATTGCTAGTGCAAAAGTTTGTAACAAAATAAAAACTGCGTTTGATTAAGAATCTAGGCAGATAACTTTGTCAACATGTCCATATAGAAACTGTCTGTC